TTAATGTGTTTTAAGAATACAAAATCCATTCTTCCACAGGTTTCATTGAGTTCTGTCACTTTTTTGTTTTTTGTCCAGTTGATCTTTTTGTGACAAAGATGTATTAAAGTCCTGCTTGAATTTTGTTAGCTATTTTATTTTTCATGTCTTCTAACATTTGTCTCATAGTTGAATGCATCTGTATTTGGTGCATATATATTTATGATTATTATATCTTCCTCTTTAAGTTTTTCCTTAATACGTAAGTAGTGAACCTCTTTATCTCTTTTTATCAATCTTATAAGTTCCCTAAGATTCTGCCAACAGAATAGCTACCACTGTTTTTTTCTGGATTCCTTTTGAATGTTGGTTTCTATGCTTTTACTCTTAGTCTATGAATTTATTTTGAATTAAATGTATTTCTTGCATACAGCATATTTTTGAGTATTGTTCTTTGACCCATTCTTCTGAAAGTTTGTGGGGGTTTGTTGCAGGACTTGAAATACTTCACTGCAATCTCTTCTTGTCTTGAGAAGTCTGCTAGCCTTTTTCTTTTGATTGGGGAATTGAGGCCATTTACATTAGTGGTTATAACTGATATATTTTGGCTTATCCTTGTCAGGTTATTCTCCTGCTCTTGGTCACTGCTTTCCTCCTCTGTTTAATTGTTTGCCCTACCTGGTAGTTTTTTTCCAACAGTCTTAGAATTCTGGTCATTTTTATCTCTAACTAGAATGTCTTCAGTACTCTTCAGCACTCTGTGGGGTGGATTTGGTGGTCTCCATTAAGTTTGAAAGATAGTCTTGCAGGGTACATCACTCTGGGTTGAAAGTTCTTTTCTTCCAGGACTTGAAATACTTCACAGCAATCTCTTATTGATTTGAGGATTGTCTTGAGAAGTCTGCTATAATACTGATGGGCTTTCCTTTATAGGTGATCTATTTGTTTTCTCTAACAGATTTTAGTATTCTATTTTTGTATTCAATTTCTGGGATCTTGATTATTATATGTCTGAGTATAGATTTACTTTTGTCATGGCTATTTGCAGTTCTATATGCCTCACTTGTATGTCAGATTCTGTTCCTGTGTTTGGGAAATTTTATGCTATTTTCTGCAAATAATCCTTTTATGTCATTTTTCTTGACTCCTGATTTTTCATTAACACCAGTCAAATTATATTGCTTTTCTTTGCATTATCCTGCAGTTGTTCAATTGTTATATCCTGGTTCTTTGTTATTTTTATCAGATCTGTCTTTTGTGATTGCTAGCTGCAGTCCTGACCTCAAGGTCTGAAAGTCTTTGGTTTCATTCAGACTGTATTTCCGTCTCTTTCACACTAAAGATTTCTTCTACTTGGTGACCCTTGGCTAGATGTTCAAATGGAAGCATGGGGTTCCAAAGAGTAGACTAAAGTTCTATATTGATAGGAGAGGACTTTCAAATATTGGCTTCCCTAGATCTATCTGCACCATTCCATTGGTCTTGTGTTTTGGGCTTGTTCAGTTTCCCAGGGTTATATGCATGATGTCCCCTGCATTGCACAACTGCAGGGGACATCATGCATATAACCCTGGGTATAAAGGTTTGTTACAGTTTGTGTCTAGTTGTCCCCTCAAAGCCTCATGCACTCATGAGGTGGACTTCTAGAGTTTGTGATTAACTCATGATCCACTGGGATTATGGGTGTCACCCAGCCTAGGGAGGATGGGTGACTTGAGGGAGACAGACTTGCTCTCTGTACCTATTGTTGCTGCTACTTCTCCCTTTTGCTCTTGCTGTTTTGCTGCTTTCCACCACCATGAACTGCTGCCCTCTGCCACATGCCTCTCTGCCTTGGAGCCAGCTAAGTATGGATTAAAACCACTAAGTGAGCTAAATGAACCTTTCCTTCCTTCATTTTGGGGGTCAGGTATTTTGTCCCAGCAACTAGAGAAAAGTAACTGAGGCAAGGTTCCTCCAGAGTATG